CTGCATGCGACGAAGAATATAACTTTTTTTTGCTGCCGTGATTAGCGCTTACTGCAAATAGTTAACACATAAAACTGAGACACCATTTCATTGCGATAAGCCTTATTTGACGATAACAAAGCACTTGTTCTTAAGCGAAATGCCGATGAGGTCAACGTACATAACAGCAGGGCATATGTTTCACATCTCTACGCTGCGCAGGCACCTCAGCGGCGAATATCGATCGATTGTGCAATCTTTTTTCCTACCCTGGGGTGCAAGAGGTAACGTACGCCCGTATGAATGTTTTCGATTCATGCTCATGTTCAGTCAGCGACGTTTCAAATCATGACGTATTGTTTGTTTTCGACAAATGCTGACAGTCGCTGTCGATCAATAAACGTGAATCACTGTCACAAGGTACGCCTTAGACAAACCCGAGACGAGCGTCTCGACAACGTCAAGTCTGAGTCTAGCGTAACGTCACATGGAACAATAGCTGAATATCTCGTGCTGCGCTTTGATCACAGTCACACAATTTGCTAAGCGGATAAATGACGCACACGAAGTAAACTATCGATTGCTTACAATGTTGATAAACAAATCGCGAGGCTTTGACATAACTTCTTCCAATGTTTGTTTCGAAGCAACTGGTTCAAGTTGGCACTAGGAACTTGTATTTGTCTGCTGCAAGTTCCGCATATTAATGGACGGTTCCCATCATTTTGAAAAAGTAGTGAAGTCACAGACATCAGCATATTTTTGAACTAATACTGCCATCAGTTAGCACCAATTATACAGTAGCATTTTTGTCAGAAAGAAGTTTATATGTAGTTCAACGTTCTGTCTAGTTCAAAAGTCAAGTAATGAATGGGAAGATGACGTTTGCAGAATCTCCGCGCTGGTATACACGGAGAGGTATGCTGATCTAGATGCCTTACGTTTGGAATTGTATTTCATCACCATCAGTCGTGATGGTCAGCAGTGGGACCGCTGCATTAACTAACCGAACGCTCTGGAGATAGTGATGTTAAATTGCTCCATAGTAGAGGAGTCTGCTGAAGGAGTCAAAATCGTCTGTGTTTCATGCTGAGCCTTTTGGTCGCCGTCAAGAAAACTATGGCGGGATTCCATCGTGAATGTTTAAGGTCTGATATGTTCAGTAATGACGGGCAGTCTGGTATG